GTAAGGATTTGTGACGTCATTACAATGCGTCTATAGCCCTCTGGCAGAAATCGAACCTGCAGTCCACACAGTCCTGCGATTCCAGTGCAACGCTCTAACCGACTGAGCTACAGAGAGACTGTCGTTAAGCTCTAACCTATAAAGAAAACCCAAGAGACTGACGAGCTTTGGTCCCATTGCAGCAACAATTTTGGCTATGTTTACATTGTGTCGGATAGCTTGACAACCGACGCAAAATCCATGCCTGATGGGGCTTGTGTTTACATATGAAATGATGTAATCGTATCAGTTTCTGCATTTTGGGTGCCTGTTGTGTCAGATTGGTTTTTGCAACGCTCTCATTGTAATATAAATACCAATCGGAGCAATTTTGTGTTCAATTCGCGATTGAAGATGGTGTCTAGAAAACGAAAACTTGCTCTTCTGACCTTATTTACGGGTATAGTCATGCTTACTCTTTCTAATGACGTCAGCAATATTTTTGTAAATATATACAAGAAAAGACGCGCAGAAGGGCAGGCGCGGAAGCTGTTTACACTTGGGCGTAACGTTTGGCAGAAGAAAGTAAAAACCGATACAATGCAAACATAGCTAAAAATAATTGTACTATTTTTCAGTATGAATTTTTAGAACAACTTCTTTAAACTTTTCAGCTGTTCAACAACGATTGTCATCATGTCAGGAGCTATTGAAGAGAAACAGGCATGTAAATACGTCACATCTTCAGTGCCCTAACTATGTGATATTGATTCTATATCTACTTTTGATGATATGACCAGTGTCTTCCGAAACAAATTGTTATTGGGGAGGGCGGGCTCGACCAAGAGGAGTTCGGGGGTATGCTCCTCGAGAACAATTTTGCGTTTCCGAAGCCTCGGAAGAGCATTTTCCGTGTTTCCTGAGAGGATATTTTGATTGAAAATTCAACATTTTGTATAACTTTTTACAACTTCATCCCTTTCTTTTGAAACAACGTTAGCTCTGTGTGCAATCACAAGAGCGAATAAATTGGTATATTTCCGCTATTGATATATACACAATATCAATGTAATAACAAACTGTTACGACCAATATAAAGTTGGTTGTAATTTCCTGCGGAAGAAAGAAATAAAATATGAAAAAATTCCTCATGGGTGAGGAGATTATTGGGTGAGGGGGAACAAATAAAAGCAACGATGGTATTGATACATTATATAACGCTACTTTTATACTAAGATAATTTTAACTATTGCATATTATACTGTATATATCGACTATTTAGCAATTATCAGTTCAATTAAATTTCCGGGGAGAAATAAAACTGTTTTCGGCCTGTACACTAATAGTGTTGCAGTTTTTCTTGTACGCACATGCTTTCAAAATGGCTTCTTGTGTGACGTTATTGCTTTATTACAAAGTTGTTTTTCTTGATTTCTGCCTGGAATATAAACACAATAACGGAATGACTCTTTAACCAGACTTTTCATGACTCTTTCACCAGACTTTTCATGACTCTTTCACCAGACATTTCTGTTTAGCATTAATTTCTGTTGAGTAATTTGGTAAAATGAAATGTAAAACTATCTCGTTCGAAATAAAGTTTTAATAACACTTTTTAATTTACAAGTTTCGAAAACACAATACAGCGGGCAGAACACCATACAGCACAATGAAAACATGACATAATTATACTAAAGAAATACTATCGTACAAATTGGGAAACCTATAGCATACAAAATAAAATGGATTTTAAAGAATATCACGGCAAGGTTTTTCCCAAAATTCGGGATGGTTTTTGCTATTTGTTTGAAGTGAATGTTTCGGAGTTTTAAATAAGTTTTAAATTGTCCGTGAATATGTTTGACACAGTAAAATAATAAAGGAATCCTACCTTTCAAGTTAAATACAACATTTTGTGCTTCTTTCGTTTTCTGGGAACATTTTTTCAATATTTTGTTAATTTGAAACCAAATTTGCGGAATCATTCTTTTTGAAAAGCATTATTTACTACCCAGGTGGTAAATAATGCCTCAGATTTACTGGTCAGCTAGCCAATCAGAACGTGCAAAAGCTCATTTGTTATGCAAAATTTATGCTAAAAATATATAGTGACCAGGCAAGCGGGAGTGCCCTTTCGTAAAATGTGCCTCGGAATTTGTGCTTCTACAGTGCCGCAGTTTTAACCGTGGTTACCTGATTTTCAAAGCGGAGTAACGCTCCACTTGTAATCGTTGCAAGAATATTCACTGATTTTTCAGTTAGACATGTGTTTCACAGAGATCATCTATTTATCTGCCTGCCTATCATTGGACAATATAAACATAGTCACTTTGAACAAAATAATTTTGGGAGATAGTTGCAACTTCACTTTCCAGTCGGCGGGCGGGGGAGACAGCAATTTTTCACATGTTGCCCAGCGGGATATATAGCATTTATCTAAAGCCATGCGACCACAAATCATCCGATCACCTTTGGTGTTCACCCTAGCTGTATAACAAAACATTTAATTATTTAGATCATTCACCAATGGTACTTATACATTACAAAATAATGTTACACTTGAACAATATGAAGTTTACTGTCACATGGCAGAAATATCTGGATGTGGAAAGGGAGGCTGGACACTAGTGATGAAACTGGATGGCAACAAGGTAAACATAATCGTAGTGCAAAACGAAGACAAAGACTGATAGGTGTAAAAATTAAACTTACCGTAACTTGTTTCATGCATGGAGGCAGTGGATTTGATTTTAACTTTGTGGTTGAGGAATAAGAACTCCTATATAAGTTAAGAATTGTGTTTAATGCACTAGCTCATTAAATTTATATACCCGTGTTTCACTTCGACAACATAACGAAACACATCGTCACTAATGTGTTTTTCAACTCAGAAATTGTGTTGTACGCATGCTGTAGCAAAAATTACAATGACTAATAAGAACGATTTGTGCCAGTGTGGGACCTGAAAAATACAAGGAAAAATTCGACGTTCTGAGAGAAGGCCCTTGGTCGAGAACGCCCAACTAACTTCCCAACGAAGGGCCTTTGCTCGAAACGTCGAATTTCTCCTTGAATTTTCCAGGTAGTTGCATCCTAACCAATAGAAATTTTGTCCCGAATAACATGGCCTCATACCTTGTCAACTTTTTAAAGAGTACATTCAGCTACAATTCGTCTTACTGGACCAACAAGAAAACCTACTCGTTGAAGGACGGGCTCGAAGGACTGACAGACAAAGAAACAAAACTTGCTTCGTATTGGAACACGCCGTTTAACAAAATATGCCTCGGAATGAAAGTCAACAGCTTTCCTACGAGCTGGACAGTGATCGACCACCAAGCAAGCTCTTTGTTCAATTTGATCAAAGATGGCAACTTCACATTAACAAAAGTTGGAATCAGTGCATGGGAATCTCTTGTCGCTTATGCTTCGCGCTGGTTGGAAAATGAATATCGTGGTTATGATGAAGGGTTTAATTTCTATAATGAATACGTGTATGCACGTATTGGATTTGCCCTTAGTACAAAATGCAAGGCGTTCGTAGGCTTCGGTACAGCATTTCGTAATGGTGAAGATAAACTGTCTAATATTACGTGCGGTTATGCTTTGTGCAAATGGAAAACTACTAAATTTGCAGCATTTGGATACATACTTGCACAGTAGCATTGCAATTCTCGCTGTGGTGGACATTTTGCAAAATATAAATAAAATTCTATGGATCTAAGAGATGCCGGAAAGACGCCAGTGAGTGGGCGAACTTTTCAAATTATATATATTCAGATAGCAGTCCGGGTTTCTTGAAACTTTTGAGTGAGGATGGGTAGGGTTCAGCACCCCTCTCCCCATTTTACCGACAGTGTGATCGTAGGCACTGGTAAAGATGGGCGTGTTTTTTCTTATCTTATGTATGGCAGATTGTTTTAACATAAACCCACAGTCACTATAGATTTTGAATTTCAACTATCATAATTTTCATTCTCAACAATCTATGTAGAACGTGGGTTATTTTAGTAAAGAGAAAAGTAAAGAAGAAAAAACACGTTAGTTTTAACTCGAAAGCTTTGCTCCTTTGCTCACTTTAGTACGCATGATCTTTCTATTATATATAGTTTTTGTGATTATGCTAATAATGGAACATGTAAAATTATTAAATACGACGATTTGTATTTACGTCGACCAAAATTATTAAATACGACCGTCAGGGTCGCTTTATTCGAAGACTGTGGCACGACTTCATTTCAGACGCCGTTTATTTTATGTGCCGTATTTATAACACATAAATTAGTATAATTGCAAAATAATTATCTTTGCCCTGAATTGCCCCCAATTACACATATTTAGCCCACAATTATGACTTAGTTGCCATGCGCAGAAGTGAACAATTCGCCGCCAGCGCGGTTTAAAATGGCGGCAAAAGCACTAAAAGCGAAGATAAGTGGCTGTATAAATGCATTTAGTATAATTCGGTATTGTAAAATGGCCTTTGAGCATTCTGATGCGCTCTCTCAGCAGTAATTCTGATGCAATAGTTACTGCTCAGAATGCTTTAAGCAGTAACTATTGCTTTTCCTAAAAAAATGGCTGAAAATCAGAGGGAAGTAAATTATTTTTGCAAATTATATTCACAAAAAAAAAACACGGGTATATATTAGCCATATTTATAAATAAAAGTTTAATTTCAATACTGAAATTATACTAAAACAATTAGTCACCTCAGGCTCGGTGATTACAAGCCTATATTCACTTCGCCTTCGGGTCAGTGACTATATAGGCTTGTAATCACCTCGCCTTCGACGACTAATTGTTAAATAATATTATATTTATCAGCATACATTAAATATTGTTCACGGTTTCAGGTTTCAGCATTTATTCAGAAGTCGTATAAAGCGTTGTACAGATAGCCTAAGTTATATTTACATTGATGTATGAGGTTTACAGAAGCGACCATGAAGCATATATTGTTATTGACAATATACTTAAAATTGCCATTGAAATTCAATTGCCACCTGGGAATCCGCTGGACAAATGTATAAATTTATCTACGTTCACTAGTAAATTCAACTAAAAAATTCGAGCCAAATTCACATTAGATACGACTCATGAAAAGTACGCCGTCTGAATATGGCCTTAATAACTTAATTACATTATAGGGATGAAGCTATCTGTTTGTCTATAGACGTAATTTTTACCATTTTTGCGCTAATTAACATGATGTAGTGATGTAGCGCAAATATCATATAAAAGCTTGTACAAGTCGTTTGTGACCAATTTATCCGCTGCCTAGCTGTTAAAATAGGTAGCGACATATTTCGGCTAAGGCCCATGACATAATTATGATGAACATTTAAATAGGAATTCACCCAAAAGCCAATCATATTGCATAAAAATTGATAATGAAATGCAGACTGTAGCTTATTGGCTCTAGCCGTTAATTGACTAGCAGAGCATATTACAGCACAGTGCGCTGAACACGGGCTATAGTTCGCCTGTACATGTCCTAGAATGAGGGTTTTATTAAACTTTTGTGCGTTAATTTTCGTCTTGCAGAAAGCAAAACCGAGCGAATGCTCGATTAAGCAAGCAATCTTTCGCAGGAAGGTACAAAATTACTTAGCGAATCACGTCATTGGAACAAGTCAAGCTGAAAGCGAGCTAGAATGTTGTATAAGTTGCGTTGGAGATGGATCATGTGCATCAGTGAATTACAAAGCTTCTGGAATCGGTAAAGGTTTGTGTGAACTCAACAACAAGACGCTTCAAGAAATATCTAACGCTGATGGAAGTATGCATAACCCTGACTTCAACCATCTTTTTATAATCAATAAGGTATGAAAAATACGAGCATTATTCGATACTGCTGTAGTTGCAAAAGATAGCTTGCGTGTTATAACAGTTTTATATAGGTGTTGGTGATACAGGGTGTATAAAAATTGACCATTTGCGTAATAGACTAAATTTTGATCTAGACAAATATTTCATCACAGCTTGAAAGAGCATCACAAAATTAGTAGTATTCCAAAGTTTCGTTGCGAAATGTTGTAAAATACGGATAATATAGCCTTGCGAAGTTTGCAATTTTCAGTCATTTTAGATTACAAACGGGAAATTGACAGCCCGACACGCTTTGAGGCTGTCAATTTCCCGTTTGTAATCTAAAATGACTGAAAATTGCAAACTTCGCAAGGCTATATTATCCGCATTTTACAACATTTCGCAACGAAACTTTGTAATATTACTAATTTTGTGATGCTCTTTCAAGCTGTGATGAAATTTTTGTCTAGACTTGTTTAGATCAAAATTTTGTCTATTACGCAAATGGTCAATTGTACTGCCAAAGTAACCACTTTGACAGGCTATCGTGTGTTAATAATGCGCTTAAGAAAGCGACGCTTTTGTAAACACAGAGTCACCTGAAAATTGGTACAACTAATATGAATTTTGCATCATAGCGCTCGTGCAAGGAACAAAAAATATTTAAAAATTTTAAGTTTTGTCACATGCGTTGAAGATTACCATGAATTGACTCAGACACTGTTTTTAATCCAGTCCCCCCTCCGTAATCTGACGTCCGTGTTGACAATAAAGTCGCTTGCTTAAGCTCCCTAATTTTTTACGTATTTACGAGTATTATCCCATGCTGCTTTGTATGGAGTCATTGCAATGAAAAATGAACAAATGCAACCTGATTTAAAGCGCTCGTTTGCAATCGCTTTTTCCACTTTTAGGATTTAAATTTTCATATTTTCATGCTTGTTGCCCATTTGGCAAACGTATGGCATTTCCAGTTCAGTATGCAAACGCCCATTTAAACGTTTTAACCACTCAATGGACCTATTCCTAATGAACAAAATTTTGATCTGGACAAGTTTAATAGACAAACATTTCACCACAGCATGAAAGAGCATCACAAAATTAGTAATATTCCGAAGTTTCGTTGCAAAATGTTGTAAAATGCGGATAATATAGCCCTGCGAAGTTTGCCGTTTTTTCAATCATTTTGTATTACGCGCGGGAAATTGATACCTTTTTTCAGAAAGCGGTGTCAATTTCCCATGCGTAATACAAAATGACTGAAAAACAGCAAACTTCGCAGGGCTTATATTATCCGCATTTTACAACATTTCGCAACGAAACTTCGGAATATTACTAATTTTGTGATGCTCTTTCAAGCTGCGATGAAATTTTTGTCTAGACTTTTCTAGATCAAAATTTTGTTCATTAGGAAAGAGGTCCATTTCGAAAAAGAATCCTTGAGACAATTGAAACTTGTTCATGGTGGATTTTTTTAGTCTATATATAGTTATCGATATTCGAAAAAGTCCTTCAGTCAAGAATACGTTACTATTAATTCAGAAGGAACTCGAATTAAATCATTTTTGCGACGTTAAACACTGAACAGACATTCAGCTGTTCATTGCATACTCCTTTAAAATAATGAAAGCGATTATAATTTTTAAGCCGAGAATTAAACATGTGGCATCTTCGTTGTCTTAAATTAAGTAAGCGTGCGTGCAGTGGGAAAAATTAAGATTACATATAGATAGTGTATAGTGAAGCGGATATCAACTATTGTTATATGTTAGCACCAATTGATATGTCGATCGGGGCTTTCTGTCAAATAAGTGCAATGACAATGGCTTCCGCTAAATAGCTAATAATTGACACTCCAGTGGTAGCTGGAAAATCGCATGCCACAATGCATAGGTCGAATAGCATCAGCTGTGGAGTTCCTTAAGGGTCACTTCTTGGCCCATTCGTTTCTCTACTATAGGTTTAAAGATATATGTTGAAGCTAGAACTTATCGACATTATACTAATAATTCGCAACCGGGGGCCCGTATCCTAGGAAACGGAATAAAACGCGAGAAAGTTGGCGAAAACCTGTTTGCTGCGAGTGCCAGCTGTCGTACAGGCGTAATAAAAAAGTTGACTAAAAAATTAACAGCTTTTTCTACAAAATGTCCTTGAAACAAAGCATGAAAGTTGAAATAATACATTTGAGAAGACGGCATACAGTAACTCTCCTAATATAAGTTCTGAGCTTATATTTATTCGTGAGAATTTTTTAGGTATACCCGACTCTTCCACAGTCCTTCGATACATTTTAGTACGGGAGAATACACGCGTTCGCGGGTTAGGCGTTGACATTACACGTCGGAAATGCGAGACTTATACATGGGGTGGGGGGCTTGTATACGGGAGGTCTTATATACGGACGACATTCGATGTTGAATAAATAGAGGATATTAGACGGTTGTATATAAAACGAAATTGACGTTGGAAATAAAACGAAAACGTTTAAAAGACATCTTGAGATGAGCAAAATTTATTGTAGTTATGTTTGCACTGATAATTTAAAAAATATCGCTTTTATGCGCGCTTACTTAATAGATGTCGTCCTGTTCGCCTTATTAGACAAATTTAGAAAAGACGACGCACGCGACCTCAAAGACGACGTGGATGTCGTCATTTGGCGCCAACTGTCGTCAGCTTCTGGTTTGCCACGTCGTCTTGGACGATTTCACGACGCGAAAATGCAATTTTCACGTCCTCTCTAGAACGTCACAGATTTATGCTTTTTTGGAAAAAATATGAGAGTATGCATAATAAAAATCATCCTATTTTGTTCCCTATGTATTGTTTAATGATTCTAGTTGAAGGTT